GTTTTTTACAAGTACACTCAAATACATTATACTGCACATATTAAATTATATACAATAAAATATATATTTATATACAATATAATATAATGTATTATACTGTATTTTTATATATTATAAGTATACAATATAATATTATATATTATATTATATATTTATACAATAAATAATATATATAATACATTATATTATATTGTATATATCATTTATATTAAATATAATATAATGTATTATAATACAGTATAATGTATTATAATGTATTAGAACGTATTGTATTTATATATTATAAGTATACAATGTAACATTATGTATTATATACTTAAATAATATATATAATACATAAATAATATATTGTATATATTATTTATATTAAATATAATATAACGTATTATGCTTATATATAAGTATTATAAGTATACAGTATAATATTACATATTATATACTTATACAGTACATAATATATATAATACAACAATACAATATAATATAATACATTATATGTATTATGCATCCAACAATTAATGTCAACAATATACTATAATACCCCACCAATAAAATTGACAATTTATATTATATGTTATCACCTTCATCCAACAACAAACTGTTGTCAAAAATACTATCATTCATCATGAGTGAAATTAACATTTTTTTATGTTATACGTATGTTATACGTTATTCTCATTACATTATCACTATTATGTTACATTATGCTTTCAAGTTGTTGCCAACAATTCATCGTGAATAAAATTAACCGTTTGCGCTATCCGAATTTACTTTTCGAAGTATTTTCTTTCAACACGAAATTTAAAAATGTCCACTGACAGACGTCGAGTCACGCTCAACAAAGGAGCGCAAACGGTTAATTCATGTGTACGTTACTGTTTGTTACGTTATATCACCGGAAACGAAAAGAAAAAAAATCGATAAAGTTGCTCTCCGTTATATCACCGGAAACGAAAAGAAAAAAAATCGATAAAGTTGCTCACCGTCTCTTCCATTTGAAAGGCAGAGGCCGAGGAGGGGAGCTGCGGGAGCATCAAGGGCAGGCAGTGTCGCTGGTCGAAGGGCAAAGCGCTGGGTGGTAGCTCGGTGATCAACGCGATGATACACCTGTTCGGCAACGAGCGCGACTACAACACGTGGTCCGAGCTCGGTAACGAGGGCTGGAGCTACGAGGAGGTGCTCCCCTACTTCAGGAAGTCGCTCAACTGTTCCTGGGAGCACGTGTCGAAGTTCGGCGGCAGACACTGCGCAACAGGTGGCCCGATGAACGTCAGAGGCTACAACTACACGCTGCCGAGCATCCAGAACGTCTTTCTGGACGCGGTGCGCGAGTTAGGGATGAACTTGCTCGAGCCTCTGATCGGCGATCGTTACGTGGGATTCGGACGGACGATGAGCACCCTGGACGAAGGGCGTCGCGTGAACGCCGCGAGAGCGTTCCTCTCGCCGATCAAACACAGGCGGAACCTCCACGTGATGAAGTCCGCCAGAGTGGACAGGATCCTGCTGGAAGGTACTCGAGCAACTGGCGTGCGTGTCACGTTGAAGGACAACCGATCGGTGGACATCAAAGCGTCGAGAGAGGTGATCCTCTCTGCGGGAAGCGTAGCCAGCCCGCAGATACTGATGCTCTCGGGGATCGGGCCAAAGGAGCACCTGGCTGAGATGGGGATAGAGACGGTGGTGGATCTACCGGTCGGGGAGAACCTTCAGGACCACGTCAGCTGGATCGGGATACAGATGGCCTACGCGAACGAGCTCGCCACCAGCCCTCCACCGTTGAATTTCATGCAGGACGTCGCTTACAGGTATCTGGTGAACAGGACCGGCGAACTGGCCACTGTGGGGATACCTCTGTTAGGCTTCGTGAACGTGAACGACCCCCAGAGCCCCCAGTACCCGGACATCCAGTTCCACGTCAGTTACATTTCACGCCCGTTCGAGATGGACGTTCTGACGAGCTTCTTCGACTTGAACGACGAGGTAGCCACAGAGATGAGGAGAACCGCCATGGAGTCCAACGTAGTCAGCCTCTGCATCGTTCTCTTGAATCCTAGGAGCCGGGGAACGATCAAGCTGCGAAGCGCCGATCCAGCCGACCAGGTCAGGATTTACGCGAATTACTTCCGCGAGAGGGAGGACTTGCAGACGTTGTTGAAGTCTGTGGACGTTGTCAAGTCGTTGGTGAACACCGAGGCGATGAGGAAGCAAGGCATGCGGCTGATCACATTGGACATTCCTGAATGTAGGCACACGGAGCCCGGTTCCTCGGAGTATTGGGAGTGTAACGTGAGGAACATCGCGACCACGTTGTTTCACGCGACTGGCACCGCTCGAATGGGACCGGCTAACGATCCACGGAGCGTCGTCGATCCTCGGCTCAGAGTACACGGGATCGAGAGGCTACGTGTCATCGACGCTTCGATCATGCCGAACATCGTCAGCGCGAACACCAACACGCCGACCATGATGATCGCGGAGAAAGGAGCGGACATGGTGAAGGACGACTGGAGGAAGAAACAACGTGTCGAACTTTAGAAGCTTGTTAGACAGATAGATAGACAATTGCGTGCTTTCGATCTGATTCGAGTCGCTCGCAAACCACGTCGATTGATTAAGGAAAATTAAACTTAATAAAATTAATAAAAGTGCAGCGATTATATGTTTGTACTTTTTTTGAAAATTCATCGTCAAAATTCATATTTTTCTCTACTTTTTTTTGGGGGGGGGGGGATTCTTTTTTAATTAAATCTTGATTTGGATTTAAAATTTGCCATTGCAACTGTATTGTTATTGTAGTGTGTATGTAGTATTGTATGTGTAGTGTTATATTATTGCTATATTGTACTATACTGTTATTATATTGCTACATTACTGTTACTATATTGTAAAATACTGTTTGTATTATATTGTTATTATATTGTTACTATATTGTAGTGTAATATTATATACACACTATGATAACAATAATAACAATATTATAATAACAATATAATAACAATATTATAATAACAATATAATAACAATATAATATACTATGGTGTATTATACTATATAGTGTAATATGATATATTACACTATATTGTAGTAAATTATAATTATATATTACTACAATATATATTGTAAATTATACATTCTACAATTATATATTACTATAATATAGTGTAATATATAATATTACAATAATATAATATACTATATTATAATATTGCACATGTAATATAATTACTCTAATATAATGTAATATATAATATATAATATTACACTACAATATAGTAACAATATAATACAAACGGTATAATACAATATAGTAACAATATAGTATACTGTTACTATATTGTAGTGTAATATTATATATTATATATATTGTAATATTACACGTTAATGCAGACAGAAAATGTAATGTAATTATGCTCCCACATATAACAATAGTTTATGTTAATAGTAATAGATTATTATTCTAAAGGGATTTCTAATATTATATAAATATAATATTTGTATACGAGAGAAAAATATTATATTCTCATATTAATATAATAATAGTTGTCTATCAATAATTCCAATATTACAATATCTATCAATAGTTCTAATATTACAATTAATATTAATAATATTAATTGTAAAATTTCATTATACAATATTATAACAATATTATAATAGATATTATATAATATTGTACGTAATAATACAATATTTATATATATATTATAATTATAATATTATGTTATATTAAATTATTATCAAACAACAATAAATTAGTGAATAGTATATATTATATTATTGAATAATATACATTTTGACTACGTTACAATCATTATGTATGTGCAATCTTCTACTTGAAAGTTTTCTATAAATGCACAAAAACTCCGCAATGCAATTGTTATTCATGCTATCTCTTTGCGAATAAATTGCTTACGTGCCCATTCATTTCGATAATAAGAAATGAATTTGATAGACTAGCCATTTATTTGTTGGTTGTCTACTTGGAAATTATTTCAATAGCAATTTGTCTTTCGATGAAAATAAAAAGATTTCCATTCGCACCGGGAACAAGTGTGAATATCTCGTAATTTTTAATTCTCCCCTGGCGCGCAAATTATCATTGAAAGATATTTAATTGAAAATTACACAGGAGTGTATTTTGCTTATTCGTTGGAGGGAAAATCGAATTCACACCAGCGGTTTAAGCATGCAAATGATTAACAGAAAGAAGAAGGAAAGAACGTGGCGTCGATTTCGCCAATTTTGCAGGACTTTGATCGAAACGAACCAGGAAACGAAGGTGAAATTGATTTTCCAGTGGACGAAAGCATCGCAAGAACCACGGTGGAACAGAGGGGCGTCGCAAGAAACAATGTTCTACGAGAATAAAGCGACTTTCGTTCTCAAATCGACAGTCGACAGTTCGCAATAAGGACCTTTCGCTCGTTCTGCACTTTCGATCGAGATTTAAATCGCGTCCATTTTGTATATCAATGTGCAATCTGCGTGTAGTAATGTGCGATATATGTTTCCACGGGAAGTTGAAAGCGAGTATTGTTTTATTACCGTCGTAGTGTCGCAATATTTTAGGTAATCACAAGTTTGAGATGCGATCTGCTTGTTTGTGATTTGGGGAAAAAGTTCGACAGTGGACAATGTAATCGACAATCCGGAACATTGCTGTTCCTTTAACTAAATCACGGACTTTCGAATTTCTCTATAATTAAATTTCGAATTTTTACTTAATTAAATTTAGAACTTTCGAATTTCCCGGTAATTAAGTTTCGAATTTTCGAATTTTTTTCTAATTAAATATAAAACTTTCGAATTCTCCTGTAATTAAATTCCGAATTTTTTTCTAATTAAATTTCGAATTTTTCTTCAATTAAATTTCGAATT